CCCCTCCCCACTCCACCCCCAGGCCCGCAGCCACTTCTCGGCAGTTCCCAAGAGCTGCACAAATGCATCATGGAGTGACTGCTCCAAAGTTGCTCTTAGTGTTGACTCCCTTAATCAGGACGGGAGGAAAGTCTCCTGGGCCTTGTCATTCTCGCCAACCTGCTTGGCATCCCTCTCCTATTCATCCTGAGAGCACCTCTGCTTTTGCTTGAATCCAAAGAGTTAGCATGAGGTGCAGAGGAGGCTCCTCAGCCAGGAACTGGGGAGCTGTGCAGATTCCTGTCCTTTGCTTCTCTGATTCTAGACCCTCATGCTTTGTATTCGAGGCTTCCTATTATGGGATTAGATATGGCCTCCCAAGAGCAGACTAGGGTTTAGATGGAGAGTATCATTTCACCCACATTTGAGTCACTGTTACTTGTGGTCCTCAAAGCTATCAACCTTTGCCCAGAGGTCCTCCTGCAGCCTGTGGTGCTGCTTGACCTGGCCTTTCCTCCCAGAAGCTGGATTTGGAGACTAGGCAGGATCTGGAGCCCCTCTTCCTCCAGAGTCTTATGCTCAGAAAGAGTATTTCCCAAATCACAGGTTTTGCATGCTTGATTCCCCTAAGCAGAGGACAGCGTTCTGCTGCGTTCTCTCCTGGAGAGGGAGAACAAGTTGGGGTTTGCTGAGGGCTGGATGCGTGATAGTGCCTGGTCCTGCTCCAGCTGCCAGCCTCTCCCCTTCCCCAGCTCCTCAACACACTGGTGGGATCCAGACGTTTGTAGGTTCAGGAGCACGACACTCAGATGAGGGGTGTTCAGACCCATGTGGAGCTGCTGCCTCTCCCGCTCTGGGCTGGCTTTGCCCTGCACCAGCTCTGGGACCCGTGTGGCACTGCCATTGAGCCCTCCACTGTGCTCTCCAAACAGCCCAGAGTAGCCCAGCCACCCCTTCACTCCAGCCACTGCTTGTTGGCAAACTGTTCCATGGTCCTGCCCGGAGGGACTCAGACATGGGTGCAGCTCTGTAGGTACCCAAGAGTGGAGGGCTGAATCCAGAGGAGGGAGGAGGGAGGATCAAGCTTATCTTGGCCCAGCCCTGCCACGCACCATGCACTCAGTCCTTCTCACAAATCCATGGGGCAGGTGCAACTGCCCTCATTTTACTAAACGAGAAAATAGCTCAGAACCTGTCAGAGGTGAAATTGGGCCCTGCCTGTCCCCGTGGCCACTTAGCTGCAGCCACAGCCCTCCCAGGTGATGGGCTCTCTGGAGCAGGAGGACTGCAGATTTGCCTTCTGTCTGTGAGAGAGTGGTTCCTGGTTTCCTTCTCTCCTTAGCTTGGCTTCTCTGTCTTACAAACTTTTGCACACACACACAGGTGCAACACAGGCCTATGGGTAATTATTAGCCCCAAAGAGTTCAATTCCCCCTGCCCCTAATGAGACAGGCTTGACGGCCAGAGCTGGGGTCAGGAGTCCTGAGAATAGTTCTGAATCTTGCACTTATATGATAAATGATCTCAAGGAGATCCCTTCCCCTCTCTGGAATCCATTTTGTTTAATAATTGACATTATTCCTTTTGAGATGATTTCACAATATCAAAAGATGGGAAAATATAATTAATATGTTGAAGGCACATTGATTTGAGTGTCTTTTAAGTTATGCATGACAGTGGAATTCATTTTGATATAATTGTTCGAGCATGGAATATAGCTTCTTCTAATTAGGACCACTTTCTTGTTGATGTACACAATGGTGAAATTCACTGTGGTGTATTCATATATGTTCATAGAAAAATTATGTCAGGTTCATTCTGCTGTCTTTCCTTTTCCTATTCCCCTTTCCTTCCTTTTATTTCCCTTTGTCTAATCTACTGAACTTCTATTCTGGCCCTCCCCACCCTTATTATGGGTTAACTTCCACATATCACTGAAAATATCCAACCTTTTGCTTTTGAGGATTAGCTTGTTTCACTTAGCCTGATCATCTCCAGATCCATCCATTTACTGGCAAATATTATAAAGTCATTTTTTATGGCTGACTAATATTCCATTTTGTGTTTGTGTGTGTGTGTGTGTGTGTGTGTGTGAGAGAGAGAGAGAGAGAGAGAGAGAGAGAGAGAGAGAGAGAGAGAGAGACACGTTTTCTTTATCCATTCATCAGTTGACGAGCACCTAGGTTGGCTCCATAACTTAGCTATTGTAAATGGAGCTGCTATAAACATTGATGTGGCTGTGTCACATATTATATGCTGATTTTAAATCCTTTGGATATATACCAAGGAGTGGGATAGCTGGGTCAAATAGTGGTTCCATTCCTAGTTTCGCAAGGTATTTCCATAATTCTTTCCAGAGTGTTTGCACCAGTTTGCAGTCCCACCAGCAATGCGTGAGTGTATTTCCCCCACCACACATCCTTGCCAACATGCATTGTTACTTGTATTCTTGATAATTGCCATTCTAACTAGAGTGAGATGAAATAAGAAAAGATAGCCTCTTCAACAAATGGTGCTGGGAAAACTGGAAATCCATGTGTAGTAGAATAATATTTAACCCCTATCTCTCATCTTTAATCAACTCAAAGTGGATCAAAGACCTAGGAATTAGACCAGAAACCTTGCACATACTGGGAGAACATCTAGGCCCAATATTACAACATATGGGCTTAGAAACTGACTTTCTTAACAAGACTCCTAAAGCACAAGAAGTAAAATCAAAAATCAATAAATGGGATGACATCAAACTAAAAAGCTTCTTCACAGCAAAGGAAATAATCAAGAATATGAGGAGCTGGGCTTGGTGTTGCATGCCTGTGATCCCAGCGACTTGGGAGGCTGAGGCAAGAGGATCACCAGTACAAAGCCAGCCTTAGCAACTTAGTGAGGCCCTAAGAAATTCAGCGACACCCTGTCTCTAAATAAAATATTTTAAAAGGGCTGGAGGTGTGTCTCAGCAGTTTAATCCCCTGGGTTCAATCCCTTGTACACACACACACACACACAAAAAAGAGTGTTAAGAGAGAGTCTACAGAATGAGAGAAAATCTTTGCCACCTGCAACTCAGGGCATTCATTTCCAAGTTATACAAAGAACTCAAAAAAACTTAACACTAAACAAACAAACAAACCCAATCAATAAATGGGCAAAGGTACTAAACAAACACATCTTAAAAGAATAAATACGAATGGTCAATAAATACATGAATAAATGGTCAACATCTCTAGTAATTAGAAAACTGCAAATTAAAACTACTCTTGAGATTCATTTGCCCCATTAGGGCAGAGGCTCAGTGAACCCCTGAAGGCCTGGCACCCCCAATGGATGTGGTTCTGCCAGTCACTTGGCTCACCCAACGTTTTGGGGAGGTCTTCTTAATATTTTTTTCCAATTTTTTATTGTGTTAAAATACACTTAGCATAAAGCCATCTTAACCATTTTTCATTGTACACTTCAGTGATACTAAGTATACTTATACTGTTGTGTAACCTTCATGACCCTCCATCTCCAGAACTCTTTTGATCTTATAAAACTAAAACTGCACCCGTAAAAAATGTTTCCCCTGGGGCCTGGGGTTGTGGCTCAGTGGTGGAGCATTTGCCTGGCATGTGTGAGGCACTGGGTTTCATTCTCAGCACCACATATAAATAAATAAAAGTCCAACCCAACTAAAAAATAATTATAAAAAAAAGTTTCCCCTGGCAACCACTATTCTGTCTCTGTGATTCTGATGACTCCAGGTACCTCAGAGAAGTAGAGTCTGTGTGTGTGTGTGTGTGTGTGTGTGTGTGTCTTCTTTCCTCTCTCCATCTCCGGATGCTCACCTCCTCCTCCTGGATGGCTTGCCTCTCTGGGACATTGGGTGCTGTTGGCATGTGGGTTCGGAGCACTCTCCCACCTCCAGCCTTGCTGCATTTTCCTTCTGGGTGCTAACTGGCCTCTCTTTTGTCTCTGTCCCCTCCGACTCTGCTATTGGTTAGCTGACGGTAGGGAAAGTGTCCAGCGGAATAGGGGCTGCAGCTGAAGTCCTGGTCAATCTGTACTTGAATGATCACAGACGTAAGACCCAGGCCACCTCTCCAGACCTGGTAAGGACATGCGCTCTCAGCCTTCACCTGCAGACACTGGCCCTGGCCTCCTAGGGGGGAGCATGGGCGGTGGAGAGGACGACAGCCCAGCCCCCTGAAAGCTCCCCTTCTCTGGGAACAAGAGAAACGGGCTGGGCCTGAGCAGAGACGCCAGGGAAGCTGCGTTTCCTTAAAGACGAACTTCACTCAGGTCCTCTGTGGAACTGTCTGTGGCTCTGGAGAAGGAGGGTCCATGTTGTCAGTGTTTGGTGCCGACCTGAATGGTCCTGTGTGTTGGATGGGGAACCGAGTAGTGGAGAGAACACAAGAGCTTCCCTCTCGTTCTCCTTCCTCACATGAGGCTGCTTGCTGCCACCACCAGCCACGTGCATTGACAGTTTGTCTCCCCTTGGCACATTGTCTTGGAACTGCCCAGGGCTGGGCTGTCCTGGCCCACGTCTCCCCTCTACCTTTGCCTGTGATGGTTTGTCAGACTCAAGTTCTCCCTTATTGACACTCTCTTGAGCAGACTTGAGGCCACCAGCTTTGCTTGTCTGACCTAGTCACTGCAGAGAGCAAGGACATGTAGAACATCCTCAGCAGGATCGTGTCAGTAACCCCCTCTGGAGCCAGTGATGTTTATCTCCTATAGAGAATACCACTGGGCAGACACCCAACCCTTCCCAGGGGGGAGTGTGAGTTGTCAAGAAAGCTGGCGTCGTGACACCTGCTCCATCGGACCCTCCCACCCAGAGCCAGAGCAGCCAGTCTGGGGAAGAAGCCCTGTCTCTCCCCAGGGACAGATATCAGGAACCTCTATCTTTGCAGCAAAGATGCGAGCGGCAAACCAGAGTCCAAGATGTCCCCGTAGTTCAGTTTGGAGTTTCTCAGCACCCAGGCCTGGCCCCCGAAGACTCTCTGGACCTCACGCACTGCTCCTCTGTTCCGCCCCAGGAGTCTGTACGGAAGGTGTTCCCACTGAACCTGGGTGGCAGCGACACCTGCTACTTCTGTAAGAAGCGAGTGTACGTGATGGAGCGGCTGAGCGCCGAGGGCCACTTCTTCCACCGCGAGTGCTTCCGCTGCAGCGTCTGTGCCACCACCCTGCACCTGGCCGCCTACACCTTCGACTGTGATGAAGGTAAACCCCCGCAGCCAGGAGGGCACTGGCTCTGGCCTCAGCTGTGACCTTCCCAGCCCTGAGGAGGTTCTAGGACACCCAACCCTTCCCAGGGGGGAGTGTGAGTTGTCAAGAAAGCTGTTTAGAGAACCTGGGAGCCCCAGCTGCAGAGGCCACCTGTGTTGTGAGGGACCGGGAAGCCATGGCCACCACGACAGTATGCCGCGCTCTGGTGGCACCCAGGTTCTAAGGGCTCTATATAAATCTTCTCATTTAGCCACACCACCTTCCATGGTCCCTGAGTACCCAAGAAAATCAACCCTGATAACAGGGTGTGCTACATGATGGCCTATTGGTAGTATTTATAAAATATGAGTTATTAAAAAATGACCTTAATAATAACATTTCCTCTGATAAGTGGCCTACCAGAGATCATCAAGGAAGGAGCTCTGCTCAGCACAGCGGTGATGGGTTTGTAATTTCCAGCACTTTCCATTGCACCATCAAGTGTAGCATAGTGCTTGGGATGACATACCCTCCAACTCACAGGCCAGCTTCAAATTCAGATTACACCTGCTAGCCATATAACCTGGGCCTGTGATTTAACCTCTTGGTCTCTCAGTTTCCTTGTCTGTAAAGTAAGGATGATAATAGTACTTAGCTCAGGAGATTGTTGTGAGTTATTTACGTGAAGCGTTTAGACTAGCGCCTGACGCACAGGAAGTCCCACACCAAGTTCTTCACTATTGTTCTTGTTGCCATCACTGTTTTTACTATCGTAGCAGAGAGCAGGGAAACTTTTTCTGGAAGGTACCCAGTGGTCCTGGGCAGTGGCCAGTTACCCAGCATGTCCCCCGTCGGCATCTTTTCTTGCCTGACACAGCTTTCCCTTGTTCTCAGCCTTCCCTACTCCCGAGGGATTCCGGAAAGAAGGACCAAGAGTGCTGATACTCAGAGCTACCATTTTGCTCCCTGGGAGCCCCCATTGCTGGAGCTTTCTCTAAAGCAACAAAGAGTGCAGCTGTCTCATCTCAGGGCCACATTTTTAGGGCAGGTGACAGATGCCATTTCTCAAGGTTGAGTGGATCTGGGCTGATTTTTATTAATGATGTATTCTAAGTTGGATAGCCATGGGACCTTGGCTTATGTCTACTGTGGCTGTTTTACAGGGGGAAAAAAAAATGTATGTGTATGTGTGTCTCTTTGTCTTTTTACAGGCAAATTTTACTGCAAGCCTCATTTCAGTCACTATAAAACCAATAGCAAACAACGGAAGAGGCGGGCAGAGCTGAAGCAGCAAAGAGAGGTATGTTCTATCTTGAGTGTTGGTGGGACAGGGAAACCCCTTAAGAGGAGAAGGTCAAGCCTTCCTCAATGTTAGACCAACTTTTATGGCCCTGGGGGGGGGGGGACAAAAAACACCCCCCAGATAAAAAAAAAAAAAAAAAAAGAGCCTCCACTTCCTGGTGTGGGTGGTTCCTGTGCATGGTCTGTGGTCTGTTGAGCCAGCCTCTGGGGTTTGTCCCATTCCAGATGCCAGTTCCCAGGTAAGTGGTTGGCTGGCTTCTCCTGAAGCCAAGGACAGTATTTGCTCAGCCACATAAAGCCACATGGTCACTCTGTGCCTGGGGCCCACCTGGCCACAAGGTGCTGTTTGCAGGAGGAACACCTGATATAAGGTCAGCTTTTCACCCTTCCTGGTCCTTCCCCAGGCCCTTCAATGTCAGCGTAAAGCCTAGCCCACTGAGTTTATAGTGAGGCAGCGCCCCCTCTGGCAGCTCTTAGCAAATACCTTTTCTCTGGATTGATGAATCACCCACCACCATAAAACCACAACCTAAAACTTTTTTCTAATAATACAAGTAATGTAGTCTCAATGTAAAAAAAATAGGGGTGATGGATTTTAAAACATATAAAGAAGAAAAGTTAATCACCGTACTCTGAAAAAACTACCACGTCCAGACTTTTTTCCTAGGTATTCTTAACCCAGTTAGAATCCTATCTATCTCCACAGTTTCATTTCCTCCTTTTCCTTTTTCTTTTTTTAATCAACAGTGTATCAATAACAGTTTTCCATGATGTTAAAAATTCTTTGGGATTCTAATTTTTAATGCCTATAATAGATCCTATTTTATGCATGATCAATAACCTACTTCACTAGCCCCACGTTTGGACTTACACTTTGGTATTTTTATCTTACAAATGTTTTTTTTAACAATGAATGTCTTTATATGCAAATCTTCACCTGTGTTTCAAAATATTATCTTAGTATAAATCACTACAAGTTGGGTTGCTGGTCAAAGGGCAACCATTTATTTTGAAGCCTCATGAACTATATGGTCAGTTTATCCCCCCAAAAGTTGTGCCCATATTCAGCATCATGAGTGGGGCCTGAGACTATTTGGGGGGTGAACCCACAGTTTGCCAAGTTAGAGTTTCTCTGGCCCTCTCAGTCTGCTTTGTTGGAAGAGTCCTCTGTAAGAGTCGTGGACTAAATGCCCTCATTTTGGTCTCTTTCTCAGAAGGAGGGGACGTGGCAGGAGCAAGAAGTCCCTCAGCGAGACACTCCCACGGAAAGTTCTTGTGCAGTGGCTGCCATTGGCACACCAGAAGGTAGCCCCCCAGGTATCTCCACCTCCTTCTTTAGGAGAGCCCTGAGCTGGCCTCTCAGGCTGCAGAGGGACCTGCTCCGCCTCCCCTGGGGCCTGCTTAACTGGATGCAGGGACTCCTGCAAGCTGCCGGCCTCCATTTCAGGGACAATGCTTACAACTACTGCTACATGTACGAGCTTCTGAGCCTTGGGCTGCCACTTCTCTGGGCCTTCGCTGAGGTCCTGGCAACCATGTACCGGGAGTCTGAGGATTCCCTCGAGAGCATTCGAAGCTGGGTGCTCAGGTGCATCCCCATCAAGCTCCAGTGAAGCCCCTGGCTGTCCCAAAGTGCCTTAACATTTCCATAGTTTAGATGGCAGTGTGTTTGTAGTTTGCAAAGGCTCTGGCCAGGAAGTCTAGTGTCTATAACCAATTAGCTCCAAGCCAAAGAGTTTCACATTGGCCACCTATGACTGGCCTTGACAGGATGAACATCTAGCCATGGTGCTAGGGCCAGGGATGACATGAAGGATGTGTTTTATAACTTTGTACTGTTTTTTATACCAAAGCGAGCCATATTTCTGGGTTTACATTTCAATTTTTTAACTTTCACTAAGCCAAGAAAAAACATTTTTTTTTCTAAAGTGTCAGTTTTTCTAAACATGGGTTTGAAGTTTATAATCGGTTGTACAAGCCCCTTCCACATTCTAGTGAGTTGTAATAATCGCTACCTGCAAAGTTAACAGTCTGGGATTTATATACACAAAAGTGAATGTGCGATCTTCTGACAAGTGCCTTTTGACTTTTGTAACTGGATGCCCCTTGTCAACAGTGGGCATGTTTTTTTTTTTGTTGTTGTTGTTTTGGGTTTTTTTTTTTTTCCAATATGAAAGCATAATGATTTTGGAAGAAAAGAATAATAGAATGAATGCACATAGCAATGTGTAGTTGACTCTGTCCTCCAGAGGGAGGACCATTTTCTCTTTTGTTTTGATATAAAAGAAACTTAAGGGCTTTTTCCCACACCAAATCATAAGCCAGTGTTGCAGAACCACAGGGTTTCAGATTGTTGCAAACCTACATTTTTCCTTCCACTAATGGGCACTGCAGGGAAAGCCCAATGGCACTTGACCCCAGAGATCCATCAAGCTGATGCCATACTGAGGACAAGCTATTTCAGTTGGTGGCATTTGGGCCTCTAAAAGATAAGGCCGCTCAGGGAGAGGAAGAAGTCACCCCCTCCCTTGGTGTTAGCTGAGCCTGAGGGTGCTTGTGAGCCCTTGGGAAGCATGGCCTGCCTAGTGGTCCTTGTCTACAGGTGCCCAGCCACATGGTCCTAACATTTAGGGTCCAGGTTCATGTGACCCTAGCAAAAAGGGTGTTTGCACTCCAGGGGGATCTCTGCGGCATTCTTGACCGGCAGAGAGGGCTAGGAATGGACCAATTCAATGAAATGGGTCCTGTCAGAGCAAAAAGTGAGTATGAGGCCCACCTGCATGTTTTACTCAGGGTGTCTGGCAGAGCCCTCAGCTGTCCCCACCCCGACTCTACCTGGACATGCACAGCTGCAGGATCTGGTTGAGCAACTGAGGAGCTGATAGAGAAAGACCCTCTAGGGGTTCAGTGTACCCACAGTCTTTAGGCTCACGAGGCCTCTGAGTAAATACTACCTCTAGAGATTCCTCTAGATCCAGGGCTGGAACCTGGTGCATGTGAGGAGCCAGAGTTCTCGAGGACATGAGATGACAAGTTTCTATGGGGGGTGGGGGAGGAAATAGGGGTTGCAAAATTTCGACAATCACTTCCCTGAAATCCTTGGGGGAAAACAGCAGCACGACTGTGGCCAAGTCTGTGGGAACTGGCTCCTCTGACTCGCATTGTATTTTTCTCATGTGTTGCTGGGATTTCAATGTTACGCACGATGGAGGAGCTGTTGGTTCCTTTTATGTTTGATTTAAATTCTTGAGGTCACGATGTGGACAGCCGTGTTACTGTGATTGCCACCAGCTCAGGGTGGGCTGATCCCCTTTGTGAAGCTGGGGTTTCTGGTCATAAGGAGACTGGTTTGAATTACTGTAATAGAGGGGGTTGTGCCTGTCACAAGCCTGAGATATTTGTATGTTCTGAGACCGTGAACCTTCCTGGTGAGCAGCACCGACACATGGGTGGATCCTGGGATGGGGGCAGACACCTTGAGGCCTCTGCTACGTATTCAAGGATAAATATAAGGCACCAGAGTAAAAGTGGGACAAAGAGAATATGGAGATGGGAGGTCTCTCAGTCGGGTAGAGCAGAGCATTGACAATATGCAGACCACATGTGTCCACTCCTGTCAATCAGCAGCTGGTCACCACCAGAAAGGTTCATCTCTCCTAATTGAGGTGACTTGTTGGGAGAAGTTTTCCTTTTTTTTTTTTTTTTTTTTTAACGGTTTCCTGACTTTCAACTTGAGTGCCTTCTCCTATTGTCATTCATTTCTTCTTTGCCACCCAGCTAAGATCTCTTTTCTGTCTTTCTCTTTCCAACCTTACACTGTGGCCGTCAGTTCATTTCAGCCTTCCAGTGCTACACCCACTTCTTGGCTGACACACTTCTGCTCTAAGGTGACTGATTTTCTTGGCAATTTTCAGAGAGTGGTGCTAACCCCTAACCTGCTTTCCGTACCCCGTCCTCCCCGCCCGCAGTACTGGTTGTGCTAATTGTGAGTGTCTTGCATACTAACGGACTCATTTGGTGGCATGGATAGTTAACAGCGTGGGGTGGTGTTCAGCTCAAAAGCCATGTTCTAATTTCACTTCCCCTGGAGCCAGCAGCCTGTTCCACACCAAGTGCATGCCCCACCTCTCCTCTGTTCCCTGGGCCAGTTTGAGTGCATGTTTTCCAATGGCACCTGCAAAGCCACTTGCCTTCTTGGGAGGGTTAACCCTGAGACAGTACCTTATAGGGAGGGCTCTGTCACCCTTGAAAAGAATGCTTTTGTCTAACAACCTCTGAAAACTGTCCTGTACAGTAGCGTCTTTTTATTTTGGTTCTAACATAATTACTAAATGCCATTGACCCAAATCACAGGTGATTCATTTTGTAGGGATTTTTAAAAATATTTGCTCTCAGGCTTTATCACAAGTTTGACCCTTGCTGTGTATTGTGAACATGTCATCACACTATTCTAGCAAATCCTTCCTCTATGGCAGCCTGCACCATAGATTCAAGGGGTTGGCGGGTGCTCTTCTTATCCCCCGTGGCTCCTAAAGCCCCAATAATTCAGGAGCTTTAAACAAGGTAGTCACTGTCACAGGAGAGAAATGGCTTTGAGAAATGACCGAGGTCAACCCCAGGCCTGGAGCACCAAGTTTAAATGCTCCTGTGACTTGTCTTAAAGCACATATTCCTGCAGCCTCATTGACCTGGAACAGCAGGACAATCAAAGTGCTCCTCAAAGAACCAGCATATCATGTGCTGTGGAGCTGTTGAGGCCAGGCCTCGCAGTCTCAGGCTGCAGTTGGTGTCTGTCCTGCATGGAGCCAGAACCACCCTGACCTCTGAGCCTCTGCCCAGCCCTGCATGCCGCATCCCTCGCTGCATTGGTGTAGAGCCTGGCCAGTACGAAGTCGTTGCTCTTGTCTTATCTTCTCTTGCAGAGTCTCCCTCCCTTTCTAGAATGTCTACCAAAGAGAGCCTTCCTCCCTCTCAGCCTCTCTTTAGCTAGCCTCCCTCTCTCATTGCAAGGCATGTCTGTGACCTTTGGTGATCATTTACAGTGCCACGTGGAACCCTGTATTTTGCACACAGCAAACAATGTTTAGCTTTATTTATGGTATTTGATGCTGTAAATGAAAATAAATATGGTTCTTTATAAAGCTCATTGTTTCCTCTCTTCTTTGCCATGGAAACTCCTAAAAACTCAAATACAGGGATAGGTTTAGGGAGTCTGTCTTCCCTAAACCGCTGGTGGGACTTGCACTTGTGGTGACATGGGATTCTCTGGGGCTGCGCTGGGACACTCCAAAATATTACCCAGGGGTAATATTTGGAAAATGTCACCAATACTCCGGGGCCAAGCTTTGGGATCTCTTCCTTGAAAACTCATGGTACTCTGCTATTCTAAATGCTGGGCAGAGTAGGTGAGGGTCAGTGTGACTTCTGCTCTTAGGAACAGACTGTAGACTGCTCCCTGCACCCATTTCCCCCACACTTCCAAGCCAGAGCCCTGATGAGCTTTGCCAATGAACTTTCAGGATTTAGGCCCCTAGAGAGCAAAGGTTGGGTCTTGAACATTTTACACTGCTCCAGCTGAGTGGTGGGTGGAAGGTAAAGAGGAAAGAGGGATACCCATCAGGATGGCAGTGAACACAGCAGGTGTGCTCTCATCACATGGAGAGCCGTTCACCATCCCCTACCCACAAAAGTTCCGGTCATTCAGCACCTTCTGAGTCCAGCTCCCAGGGCAGGCTCCACCCAACTGCAGGCTGTGTTCAGGGGAAGGATTTGGAGCTTCACTCTGCTAGGCTACATAGTGCCCCTGGGCAGAGGCCTGCCATCGCCAGGCCTGATGTAGCGGGGTTTCCGACACTGATATGACAAGCCACCTGTGAACTTTATGAGGGCTCCGCACCTCCAAAGGAGCAGATTTGGGGCCCTGGTCTCCAGCTTACCTGCTGGTGCCTGGATCTGCCTTCAGAGCCAACTCAGGTCATGACCAAGGGTCTTGTACTCCTTTCCTTCCATCCAAGGAAAGACGTGAGGGACCGGAAGCCAGCTAGCAGGTTTGGCAAGTGTCTCATTCCTTTACTTACCTATCCTAGCCATTACTCTAGATTCTGGGGATACAGCAGTGGATGACCCAAAATCCCTGTATCTCCCTGCATTTTAGAGATATGTGTCTCAGAACTGCTGTCCTAGATCTGATTCATCTTATTTGTTTACCTGTGTTTGTTCATTTACTCAATTGATCATTACTGAGCATCTACTGTGTGCTGGGAATGCAGCAGGGAATGAAACAGACAAGAATCTTCCACTCTGTAGAGCTCAGGGTTTGGTTTTGATTTTTCTTTAGAGTTGGATTAAAGCAACATTCTTCCAAGTGTGGTACCCCAAGAGTTGCTTCACAAATAGAGAGTTCCATAGTCACAAAGTTTGAGAAATGTTTTATACTGATCTTGCCAGTCCTTCTGAACCTTGAGATGCACAAGATTCATTAGCATGTTAAAGGTCTCCCTAGGAGTCCTCTGGTGAACAAGCTTAATTAATTGTTCATATTGGCTTCCCATTCTTACTTGGAAATTTTGTTGTTGATTCAGTTTGGATATTACAATCTACAGAAATAGCATTTGGTAGAATATTCTTTAACCACATTAAAGACTTACATTCTAAAAGTAAAATAATATAATTAAATATTAAATTATAATTTCCCACCACCACAGACTCAATACACACACATATATATATTTGTGTATGTGTACATATGTGTGTGTGTTTGTGTATACATACAATAGAATTAAACATCAGCTCATGGAGTGACAATTCTCTAAGTTTTAATACCTGTAAAAGAAAAAAAAAATATGTAGACAAAACATGAGACAAATCTGACTATGCATTTTTTAAAACAGCATATAATAGTAAAATTTAAAATCTTTTAGGCAAACTGAGGAAAAATATGAATTAATAAGGTTAAAAAGTCAAATGCCATGGTATTTAAAGAGTTCCTTGACTGCTGGCCTTCCCAGGTCCCTCCCCCAGTGGAAGTGATCCATTCGTATTTATTTATGACCAGAAGATAAATGCACAAAGGCTGCAAACAAATAATTTCACTTAAGCAGATTAAAAAGCTAAACACTAAGAAGAAAAAAGAAAGCATTTACAGAAAAGTTCTTTCTTGCCTTCCAAAGGAATGTAAATTACTTATGCTGTACCACTGACTTAGCAAGATTGCAAGAGAAAATAAGAACTTAGTATTGAGTTAAACATACTCTGGGACAGTCTTTTACTGGAAAGCAATATGGCAATTATTATTAAGATCCAGAAGCCGGGCTCAGTGGTACATACCTGTAATCCCAGCAACTCTGGAGGCTGAGGCAGGAGGATCTCTCAAGGGCAGCCTCAGCAACGTAACAAGACCTTGTCTCTAAATAAAATATTTTTAAAAGGGCTGGAGATGTGGCTCAGTGATTAAGCACCCCTGGGTTCAATCTCCAGTACCAAAAAAAAAAAAAAAAATAGATTCAGAAAAGGGCTATGACCTCTCAGCCCAATAATCCTACCCCAGGGAATGTATTCTAAAGAAATAACCCAACAGAAGGAATAAATCTGTGCTGCTTGAATACTAAGTAGAGTTAAGTAGGTCAACCAGAGTGGGGGAGCTGCTCTCCTTTATTTCTGTGAACTCATTCATTTTTATAACTTTTGTTTTCAATTCCTTAAATAAGTAAAAGAAAGTTTCTGCCTCCTCCACTGGCCCAGCTATTACATGGCGAGCATTTTCTCTGTGCAGCACTGGGCCAAGGACTTAATACACAGCTGCTCATTAGCATTTCACCTCCTGGTGAAAACCTTGAGGTCAGCACTAATGGTAAGAAGACCCTGTTAAAGTAGCTCACTGGTACCAGAGAGGCGAGTCCATAGCGACCTCTTCAACTGTGAAGGCTCAAGAGAGGCCACCAGGGCCCCGGCTCAGAGCCAGGCGCCTGTTCTAAGGGTCCTTGGTGTATGATAAGGGCCCTGGACTTGGCCAAGCCCTGGCTTTGACTCCTGGCATTTTGTTCTGATTTGGCGACATTGGCCAAGTTCCCTCTGCAAACCAGGACCAAACAAAACCTCAGCATAGCATTTTGTGAAGGTGAAACCCATGAGCCGAGCACTCAGCCTGAGCCACAGTGCTCTGCTGAGCCCAGGAAGACTTTCTGCAGACACTCTAGATCAGCTGGAGCTTAGAACACCTGGCAGAACATCTTCAGGTTGAGGACTAGGCAGAGGCCCAGTGCTCACTGGGCAACCCCATCTATTTCTTTCTAGTTCTCTAGCTTCCCCAGCCACCCACCTACCGATCCCCAGACCTCAGTTCTAGAGCCCCCTTCCCTCCCTCCACTGCCAACAGGACTTGAGTTTGCTTTAGAGAGTGCCCAAGTCACAATAAGAGGGAACACAGTCCTGGCTCTGTTTCCAGCCATCTACCCACCACCTCCCTACCCACACCTCCACCTGCGCTCTACCAGGGCGTCCAGCTCAGACCACCTCCAATCCTGATTTCCCCTGAAATGGGCTCCGCCCTTGGCTGCCCCCATTGTTGCAAACAGCAATTCCCCTCTTCCTGTTGCTCATCCCCCAATGCTGGGGGTCATTCTTGATTCTACTTTCTCTTGGCCCCACATCCAACCCATCAGCAAATCCCAACAGCAGCAGAATATGTCGCCTCCTCACCACCTTCACACTAGCTGGCCTTAGCCACTATTGTTCCTTCCTGGATTATGGCAGTGGCCTCCTAGGAGGCTCCTCTACTTCTCCCTCTACCCCTCAATCTATTTTCAACACTCATATGGAGGGATCCTCTAAGTCAGGTCTCCTGCTCAGAGATCCTCCCCACCCCCAGCTCCCCAGCTCCTACCTTGTAAACTCCAAAGGCAAACATTGGTTCAAGGGTCTCTATCCAGCCTGGCCTTGCACTCTGACCTATTCGTCTCCTTCACACACTATTCCAGACACACTGACTTCCTACACCTGTGCATTCTGCCTTAAAGCCTTTGCACTGGCTGTTCCCTCTGCCAAGAATACCCTTCCCAGTATCCATATGGCTGCTCCTGTCCTTTGCTCAAGTCTGTTCAGGCTGTCACTCTCAGGGAGGTGTCCTTGTAGCACTGTAGGCTGCACCCCTAGGCGATCCTACTCACCTTACCTACTAGGGTTTTTTTTTTTTCCACATTTATCACCTTCAGCTCTGCCATGTAACTCAATCATTCGAGTTGTGTATTGTTTATGTTTTGCTCTGTGCTAGGGCATAAGCTCCCTAAGTCTGGGATCTCTGGTTCTTTTGAGTGCTTACGTAACCCCAACAGGTAGAACACACAGGGGCCCTCAGGAAATGCTCGTGGATTATAGGCTCTCTGGTCTGGGCCTCAGGCTGGGAGCTGTCGGAGCCAGGGAAGTTCTTGCTGGCATCCACCGCAGCTCAGGAGGGAGGACTGGAGGAGGAGGAGGACATTGTGCATCCTGCTGCATCTGTAGACCCTTTGATTTTGACAGGAGCCTTGTTTTTGCCTTCTGAGGGGAATCATCCCCACACAGTTCTCTTGTCACAAAGTGACAGGTGGGCTTGGGTGGCTTCTAGCAGGGCTAGGCCAGAGGTTGGCGGTAGAGAGCAGTTCCAGGGGGAACTGGAACAGCGTGTTCCACTTTGGGGCATGATAGCCCATGACACCAGGCCATACACGTCCTCCCACCTCCTTGCTGTCCCCTGCTCTGGGGTCCTGACACAGAAATCCAGATGACAGGATAAAAACAAGGGGAGATGCTACCAGCACCTTGACCAGGGTGGAGCGAAAGCTGCCACTGGATCCCCTACATCAAGACATGTGGGTGGCTCAACTTGGCTTTGACCTTATAAGCCTAGTCGTCCTGTACCTGTAACCAAGGCCAAGGGAGGCTGCTGTCCAGTAGCAACTCCTCAAGTGTGTGTGTGTGGGGGGCCCTAGAGCACCAGAAGATCAGCTGTCCTCTGAGCTGCAGGCTAGTGCCTAGTGGTGGCGGGGGTGGGGTGGGGTGGGAAGAAGAGTCAGGGTCCCAGAACTGAGGCCCTAAACCTGCTGCTGTTGGCCAAACAATCTAGCTCCCTTGCTGCTCTGTAGCGTACAGAGCCAATGGGAAGACACAC